AGGGGAGCGAGACAAGAGGCGCATGGGTGGGGACGGGGCGCGGGAGGAAAGATGGAGAGGAGCGAGACGGGAGGCGCATGGGTGGGGACGGGGCTGGGGAGGGAAGATGGAGGGGAGCGAGACGCAAGGCGCATGGATGGGGACGGGGCTGGGGAGGGAAGATGGAGGGGAGCGAGACAAGAGGCGCATGGGTGGGGACGGGGCGCGGGAGGGAAGATGGAGGGGAGCGAGACGGGAGGCGCACGGGTGGGGACGGGGGAACAGACGGAGGGGAGCGAGACGGGAGGCGCGTGGGTGGGGACGAGACTGGGGAGGGAAGATGGAGGGGAGCGAGACGGGAGCTGGCGATGGAAAATGGAATCACAAGCATCATTGCAGGCTGCTTTGGGGCAGTGCAACAGTAGAACGAAGCATGGGTGGGGGTAGTGCTCCTCCATGCTTCGCGGAGGCACGTGGGGAGGTGAATGGAGCGGTGTTGCGGGGCTGAGGTATGGTTTTGGGTGTCCAAAATGTGCAGAATCCACGCGGTAGACATGGTTGCGTTGAGCACATGGTCGCACCACAAGCATCAGTGCAGGCTGCTCTGGGGCAGTGCGCAAGTAGAACGAAGGTAGTGCTGGTCCAGGTGAATGGAGCGGTGTTGCGGGGCTTAGGTATGGTCTTGGCAGGTGTCCAACATGTGCACAATGCCTGCGACAGGCAATGTTGCGTTGAGCACATGGTCGCATTACAAGCATCATGGTAGGCCGCTCCGGGTCAATGCACAAGTAGAACGAAGCATGGGTGGGGGTAGTGCTGGTCCATGCTTCGCGGACGTGTGTTGGGTGGTGAGTGGAGTTGTGCTGCGGGCTGATACGATGGGGTTGGGTGTCCAAAATGTGCACAGTACATGCGCCAGACAGTCAAGGCATGGCCGACACGGGAGGAGCGTTATGTGCCACAAGCGCAACGTGGGAAATTGTACGGTTGGAACGAACCTTGGAGGGGGCCGATACTGCTCCAGGCTTCCTGGAACGGTTGTCAGAAGCCATATTGCAATGTTATTGGAGACTAGCTGCAGATTGAAAACAACCACTTGATATATATATATATATAACACCTAGAATCCGTTTGACACCCTTTTTGACAGGAAAAGGCCATACTTGGGATAGTTGACCCTCCAAAACAGGGGTCACTCAGGTTCCAGGCATATGATACATCCAAAAGCCAACCCGACGAAAGACGGAACTGCCACGCGCCCAACGCCACACGTGGCCCAAACTGGGGATCCGTCGGAGACCGTGCGGCGCAGAGTCGGACGGAGCCCTAGAAGTACGCCAGGGGCTGGGGAGGGAAGATGGAGGGGAGCGAGACGGAAGATGGAGGTGCATGGGTGGAGGGGAGCGCGACGGAAGGCGCGTGGGTGGGACGGGAGGCGCGCGGGATCGGGGCTGGGAGGGAAAATGGAGGAGCGAGACGGGAGGCGCATGGGTGGGGAGGGAAGAAGGAAGGGAGTGGGAGGCGCACATGGG